CTCACCCACCCACCAACCTAACCACCCACCCACCCACCTGGATCATGCCCATGGATGCGAGCATCGCCTCCCGCTTCCTCGCCGCCGCCGCCCTCATCGCGGCCCGCGTCGCGGCCCGCATCTCCGCCACGGCGCCCGCCGCGCCGCACGCGCCGCCGGCCGCGGCGACCGCCTCGAGCAGCCCCTCCGCCAGCGGCGCCAGCTCGCGGCCGCCGTGCACGCCCTCCAGCGCATGCGCGAGCGCCAGCAGGCCGGGCGCGGCCGCGAGCGCGGCGCACACGCCTCCGTGGCCGCGGGAGAGGGCCGTCAGCAGCTGCAGCGCAAACGCGACGCCGGGGCGGGCGGCGGCAGCCTGCCAGGCCGCGCCGCCGGGCTCCACGTGCCGCGGCGGTGCCGCTGCGGTGGCCGAGGCCGCGGCCGGGGCGCAGGCGGGGCTTGCTGCCGCATGCTGCTGCTGGCGCTGCCGCCGCCGCAGCGGCCTCGGCGTGATCGGGCTCGACGCGGCAGGAGAAGAGGCGAAAGGGATCCAATCGTGACCCTCCGCCTCCCCCTCCTCCTCGTCCTCCTCGTCACCATCCTCAGCGCCGCCGCCGCCGCCGCCGCCTCCGCCGTCCTCGTCAATGCGCCGCCCGCGCCGCTCGTACGCGCCCGGCGCGCGGGCGGCCCCCGCGGGCGGCGCCTCGAAGCAGCCCACCAGGTAAGCCGCCAGGCGCCCCGGGACTCCGCGCTCGAGCACAAGCTGCCTGAATCCGCACGCGTCCCCCTCCGCCCCCGCGGCCCCAGCCGCCCCGCCCGCCTCGCCGCCGCCGCCGCCGCTCCCGCGTGCCGCCTCGTCAGCGCCCTGAGTCAGCGCCTCCGTCAGCCGCAGCAGCCCCTGAAGCTGCAGCCGCTGCGCCGCCGCCGCCGCGGCGTCGGCCGCCGCGTCGAGCGCAGACAGGTCGAGGGCCGCCGCAAAGTGGTCCAGCAGCCCCCGCTGCGCGGCGCCGTCGCTGCGCGCGAGCGCGGTCAGCACGCGCGCGAGGACGGCCCCGCAGTCGCCGAGGCCGTGGCGCTCGAGCAGCGTCAGGCCGCGCGCCAGCTGGCAGACGTCGACGGCCACATCCCCCTCGGCCGCCACGGCCGCGGCTGAGGCGGCCGGCGCCGCGGGGGCGCGCGCGTCCGCGGCGTGGCCGAGCGGCGCGTCCGCCGCGCTGGCCTCGTTTGCGAGCGCCTCGAGCAGCCTCAGCAGCTCCAGCAGCTGCAGCTCCGACCACTCGCCGCCAAGCCGCACGGGCGCGGCCGGCGCCAGCGCCGCGGGAGCGCTGGGGCCCGCGTCCCCCGCCTCTGCCTCGAGCAGCGGCTCCGCCGCCGCGCGCACGAGGTGCAGCAGCGCCCGCAGCGCGCCCGCGCCGAGCAGCCCGCGCCGGCAGCCGCGCAGCGCGCAGCAGGCCGCCAGCAGCTTGAGCAGCTGCGGGCGCGCGCGGCGCGCGACGGGCGCGGGGCCGGCCAGCAGGGCGAGCAGCAGCCGCAGGCCGGCGCCGGCGCGGTCGCAGAGGGCGGCGGCGGCCGCGTGCTGCTCCTCTGGGCTGCCCGCGTCGGCGTCGGCGGCGGGCAGCTGCTTCACGACAGGCTCGGTCGCCTCGCCGTCCAGGCCTGACAGCCTTGGGGCGGGGTGGTGTGTGTGTGTGTGTGTGTGTTGTGTGTGTGTGTGTGTGTGTGTGTGTGTGTGTGTGTGTGTGTGTGTGCACAGAAGTGTGGTAGCGTGTGAGTAGTGAACTGGTGTGTGGGTGTGTGGGAGTGTACACGTGTCTGGCTGTGTGCGGTGTATGGTGTGTGTGTGTGTGTGTGTGTGTGTGTGTGTGTGTGTGGGGCCCCTCTACGCCCGGGGCGATCAGGGGCCGCGGCGCCCCCTCACGCACCTGAAAGTGATCGCCATGACGCTGCCCGCGCCCGCGCTGCCGCCGCCGCCGCGCCGGCCGCCCCTGGCCCCGCTGCCCTGCTGCTGCCAGAACCGCTGGTAGACGGCGGCGATGGGCAGCGACAGATCAATCAAACTGCCCGCCACCAGCAACTCCATGCCAAAGTCATCCTCCAGCAGCCCTGCTCGGTGAAGCATCGTTCATGTTGTTAATAGGTCGCAAGGACGAATGCAGGAAGGCTGATTGCACGGCAAGGTGCGCCCCGTGGCTCAGCGTCGCGTCGCGGCGCCGCACGCTGCGCGCGACAAGACACAGGCGAGTGCGGCCGGTGGCCCGGCGGCCGGCCCGCCGTTGATTGTTGTCTCGAGTGCGGTGATGCGTGGCGGGCGGCTCACCCTCCATATCGAGGCGGCGGCAGACGAAATTCTTGACGTGCCGCATGAGGGGCCCGCCCACGTCCGACGCGGCCACGAGGCCGCCGCCGCCGATGCTGCCCGGGATGAAGTCTGCGCGGCAGGGTTGGCGGCGCGGAGGGGTGCGTTGTGTTGTGTTGTGGGGTGGCCGGACATTGTGGGTGGCAGCATATATAATAGTTTCATCAATACAGAGATGCCCCCACGAAGGTCGAAGGTATGAGGGAGATCAAAAGAGCAGCGCAGTTGAGGGGGAGCACCGCGGCAGGCGTGGCAGCCAGCGTCTCCGAGTGTGGACAGACCCTGCGGCGGCCGGGGCCACGCGTGGGCGCGCGTCTCACCCGTCTGGCTGGGCGCCTTGATGAGCTGCAGCATGTACATTGGCTCCCGCCGCTCGGGGCAGACGCACGCGCACAGCCGCGCCAGCAGCGGGCCGCACAGGTGCTGGAGCCAGCGGGCGCGTGCGGCGGCCGCCTCCGCCGGCGCGGCGCATGCTGCGTCAGCGGGCGCCTGCAGCGACTCTAGCAGCTGCACCGCAGCGCGGGCCACCTGCAGCCTCGCCTCCGCCGCCGCGGCTGCGTCAACTGCTGCGCCGCCGCCGCCGCCACCGCCGCTGCCACCGCCGCTGGCCTCGTCCCCGCCATGCGGCCCGTCCTCACCGGGCACCGCGGGCACGGCCCAGCGCTCCTGCAGCAGGCGCTCCAGCTGCCGCGCAGCTGCCTTGGTCACGGACGAGCGGCCGACGGTCAGCGCCTGCAGGGCAGCACTGCACCAAAGCACCTGCCGCAGCAGCGCGCCGTCCCAGCCCTCCCCTCCGGCCCCGTCGCCAATGCCGTCCGCGCCCGACCCTTGCACCGACGCAGGCGGCGGGGGCGACGCGAGCGCGGCCTGCAGCAGCTGCGCCAGCCGCCCAAGGGTGAACCCTTGCTGCGCCGCGTCTGCCAGGCCGGCGCCCTCCTCGGCCTGCTGCAGCAGTAGCCGCTCAGCCAGCAGCCGCAGCTCCGCCGCGGCCGCCGCCGCCGTGCGCCGCCGCAGGGCGCCGCCCCCGGCCTCGCCGGTCGGCAGGTCTGACAAGCAGGATTCGAAGAGGTCGAAGAGCTGCTTGCCCGCCTTGCCGGCGCCGCCCGCGCGCGGTAGCAGCCGCGGCAGCTGCATCAGGAGTTTGTCCTGCGCGGGGTGCAGCAGCCGCAGCGCGGCCGCCGCGGCCGAGCGGACGTCGTCCGAGGGGTGCAGCAGCAGCCGCTCGACGAGCGGCGCTATGTGCTCCGACAGCGGCGGCGGGGGCGGCGGCGGCGGTCCGGGCGCAGGGGCGGGGGAAGGCGTGCGCGGCGGTGGCTGCGGCGGCGCCTTGGCCGCCGCGAGCTGCGGGGCAGCTGGGGCTGCGGGTGGCTGGGCTGCGGCGGCGAGCTGGCGGCGCAGCTGGCCCGAGCCGCTGCGCCCCAGGGCGCGGCTGCCCGGCTGCTGCTGTTGCTGCTGCTGCCGCCTGCGTTGCGAGCCGGCGTGGCAGCAGAGGCAAGGGTTGGGATGGGGTGCAAGTCAGGTTTGACAGGCAACAGCACAGACAGCCTGCGTGGTAGCAGGTATGCAGGAGCCTGTGCGCGATCACAGCCAACACCCCCACCCCTTCTGACCCTCCCACCCTCAACTCCTTGATTCTTACTCTTCGCCCTCCCGACCGCCCCCCCCCCCCCC